TAGAAGCAGGCCCTCAATGTTTGAGTATAGACAGATGTGAAGACAACAAAGGACCCAGTCGTGCAGCTAACTGCTACCTGGGGTAAGAGGCAGAGGAAATAAGACATGCAAGGGCTCTGAGCCATGAATGAACCTGGGTTATTTAGGGAAGGGTACGAAGGCTGATAAAGTTAGAGTGAAATGACATGGCAGAGGTTCCAGAAAATAAGTTCAGAGGAGTATGGGAGGTTGAAGGGCTATTACTAGACTTTAGGCTTTTTTTCTGAAAGAAAAAGGAAGCTACTATGGAGTGTTGAGCAAAGAACAATCTTAATGAGACAGGTTTAACATGTTTACTATGACTGATCTGCTGAAAACAGACTGAAAACGGCAGGACGAAAATATGGAGATGAGTTTGGGCAAACTGCTTACAATCCAGACAAGAAAGTATGACATCTCAGTCAGTAAAGTGAAGCAAAGATGGTGGGAAGTGGGCAGTATCTGGGTGAAGAGAGCCATAGGAACATTAGCCATGCATGTCAGTGGTTACAGGAAGTTTATACCCCGCCAACCCAGCCTCCACCCAAATCCTCCATCTTCCAGTAGGCAGGGGTCACACCCACCAATTGCCCCTCCCCCCCCTCCCCCGGCCCCAACTCCCAGCACCGTGTAATCCCATCAACGGCCAAGACCCAGAGACTACAAAACCCAGCTCCGGGAAGCGACATCTTATTATCTTATTCTTACTTTGGACAACCTGGCAGGCTACCGAATGTATCCTGCCCCACGGCAGAGTCTGGCAAACTCCCTGTGATGTATCCAATATGCCAAATACCAGTAACAATGATGGGTCTCATTCTCCTAACCCTGAAAGCTTGCCTTGAATATGGCACTTTTTAAAATCTCAGGGCTAGGACTAAGGAGACGTTACTGGTACCTGCTCAAGGCAATCAACGAACAACAGGATGATCGTGATCATGATTGTGAACCCAGCAAACACAGACTGGGGGCAATGTACAAACATCACACTGTGTTGGAAGAAACCTGCTTTCAGATAGCCCTGGTCTGGCCCTGAACAGCTGGGCCTCTAGGACAGATCATTTACTTCCTCAGGATCTAAGTTTCCTGTCCTACAGGAAGAGCACATGCCTGACTTGCTCCTTGTTCTCAGACTATGAAAGTCAGAGGAAGTATGTGCCTGAGGACATGGGTTCTTGGGATGAGCTCAGTATTAATGCAAGACAATGTCGCTCAGAGACAGCCCATCAGTTGTGCCCAAACACTATTTTTTTGGGGGGTGGAGGTAAGGGCAATAAAAACTTTTCAAACTCCTCTTTTGTTCTATTTGGTTGAACCTGTCTTGCTAATCACTGAACCTCACCATTTTGCCCTATGAGACAACCTGATTCAGGCTGTCCATTAACTGTAGTTAACTGCTATTATCTGCCACTGATCCTAGAGACTTACTCTAACTCAAAGGGATATTCTGTTCCCTGTGGAACTTTTGGTTCTACCCTAAGAACTTTTTACTTTTTATTTTTAAACCTACCGACACACCCAGATTTTCTGCTTTTTCAAAGATGTCTTTTCATCCATGATTTTACTTCAAAAGGCAGCTTCAGATGTTTTATCTGAGCTGCACATCAGAGCCTAACTGTGCTCTTAGAAGTAATAAACAGTATTGCATTCTTACTTCTCCCTGGACTTTTTGCTGCCTACAGGACTTACGCTTGACTTGTTTTTCAGGGTGAGGAGCCTTGTGGTGCAGTACAGGAGAAATCCCCACATGTATGACGACAGCGCCTTAGTGGCTCACCACGGCCAGACTGAGAGAAGACCACAAGCACTCAGGTGCTGGTCATAGTACACTGACAGCATTTTTGACTCCAAGCTGGTGTGTAATTAGGCCCTGTCCATTACCGAGGGCCATGCAGTTAGCCTTGAGCACTGGACTGGGAAAAATGGCCAATGTCGATATAGCTCATTCCTCTCATTCAGAGCTCTAGGGAAGACTGCAGCTAAGACCAAGCAGGCTGCAAAGCATACAAATGCCTCAGCTCAGCCTGATGAGCACATAAAATATGTTATGTCCCGAAACAAAGTGGGGTGGCTCATGAAACTCTGCTCCCTTTTTCTAATAGGAGGCAGCTGTCTGGGTTAGTTATGGCAAACTTTTGTTCCTGGCTGTGCCCTCTAGGCTGTCTCTTCTCTTGCAGCCCCACACAGGCCAGCTTCCTTGTGGCTCATGGGTCCTCTGATCGTCTCCGGACCTCTGATGAGCCAGATAGATGGATGTTCTTTCTTGGGAGTTAAAAATGAGAGTGGATAGGTTGGTGGAGGCTGGGACAAGGAAGTGGGAGGCTGGCAAGGCAGTATTTGGGATAAGCATAAGCACAAAGGGACTGTTAAATTTTGGGTTTGGGGTTTTGTTTGTTTTTGAGCCACACTCAGGAGTGCTTAGGGCTTATTCCTGTCTTTGCTCAGGGATCTCTCCTGGCAGTACTCAAGGAGGGAAACTGGATCAGCTGCATGCAAGGCCTTAAGCCCTGTACGATCTCTCTGGCCCTGAGGTGGTTAACTTGACAAAAAAGGAAAGTAGACAGAGAAAAGTAGAAAGAGAAGCTGTATGCCCCTGAGAAACCAAAAAGATAAACTCAGAGCTGATGGTCCTATTCTTGGCCCCAGCCCCTTAAGTCTTCATTCTCTGCTCTTGGTTCCCCTGAGTAATTACTGTGCCTAACCAGCAAATCTCTCATGGTTGGTTGTTTAACATTGCTTGTTGCGATTTCTATTTCTTGTAACCAAATAATCCCAAATAGGTGTCAGTGAAGATTATATAGCAACATCCTACTTATAAAATGAAAGGTACTAAATTGTACAAACTCTACTTTTTTCATTATGGACCAAATAAATGTATACTTGAACAGTAGCTAGAAGGTAAACATAAAAATGAATCTATTGTTTTAGGGGTGATATATATATATATTTACTTTTTCAAATTTCCATAAAATTGTTAGAAAACTCATAATTTACTTTTTCTTTTGGGCATCATCCAGCAGAGCTTGAGGGACCCTGTGCTGGGGATTGAACCAAGAAGCACCATAACCCCTGTACAATCTCTAATGGCCCTGGAGTTCATAATTTGTAAAGAAGCTATTGTACAATTAAACAAATGTTTAATATTTGAGTTATTTAATCCCTCCTAACTCATTTCCAAAACAGCAGATAGTATAACTAATATAGATTGTTCAGTTATTGCACAGCTAATCCAAGTGTGTTCCTATAAAGTAGAGGGAAAGTAGTCATTAAGATCTGTTATGCCAGTTCTTTTACTGCTGCATAAAAAGAAAAACCTTAGTTTCAGATGATTTTTTCACATCAGGTTTTTTGATATGATTTTATTTTACACACAGGGCCTGCTCTAGTGTAGTCACACCAACAGGGTTCCCAGAGACCCCAAGTCCTTGAATTGCTCAACTGATTGGAGTGTTCAACTCTGAACTCACTATATGCCTGTAAGACTCAGGGCCTTAGCACTGACCTTAAAAGCTATATTTACTCTAACCACCTCCTTCTGACCAGCATCTTTATTTTCCTGCACTTATCTGATCAACCTAACCCAGCTTCCACACAGTTCTTGCCATGAACTGCCTCAGGTCCCTCACCATTCCCATAACCCAGTAGACTCAGATTGCTACAGAATAAAAGGACTGCTTCTGGGAATCGCATGTTGGATAGTAATCCAAAGTATTTTAGACTTCATCAGTAAAATGCCCCTTTCCTCTCCCAGAGAAGCTTATGATGCTCTTACAAGCATCCCTAATCCCCCCAGTTTATCTTTGACCTTTCCTTTGAGCTTTATCTCTCATTGTCATAATTCTTCAAGTTAGGGTTGATTACTTATAAGTAAAAATTGCTAATAACTCTGGACTTTGTATTTGTGCTGAATTACTTGCTTTTCTATTTCCCCTATAGCCTTTTCATATTTTACTATAGAGCAATGCTCTTTGCTTAAACAGAGAAAGATCATTAATGCTGTGCTCCTAATATTTGGAAGTTGATTGACTAGGAACTATATCTGCTCCTGGGTGTCTATAATTGTTCCTTGATTCAGGCTTTGGTTGCTGTAGTCCCTAACCCCCCAAAAGGGGGGGTCTCACCACGGGACCTGGATAGACCTTCGGTGAGCGGCAAAGCTACCCTAACAATGAATTGAAATGGGGAAGTCTAGAAAGCATAAAAGCATAGTCTTGATGCAAGCTGTTATGACTTAAGAGATGGGACTCCCATAGTGTAGGATAAGCTGAGCCAGGCTGAGGACTTAGTTTGGGATTTATGGTAAAAACTTGCTTGTCCTTAGAGAACTAAGTTTTGGAATCTATATCTCTTACTGTGTTTATCCAAATAACTACAAGTATTAATAAGAAGTAGACTTGTTTAATATGTATAATTAAAGGAAAAGAGAAGATCAATATAATGCGTGTCACCCCTGAGCAAATCTCTCTGTATTGCCCCTGGAAACAGAGTGTTTCCACCCCAAGAGAACTGCTTTCATTGAATCGCTTTACCTCTGTAAATGATCAAACATACCTACTGCATAGGTATATGCAGTCCTATACCTCAACCCCTTTCAGATGTTCTGTAAGTATGCTAACAGCTCTGCATTAAAGGGGCTATTTTCACCATCAGTCTGTGGTTCCCCTTCTCTTTGTTCCTCTGCTGGGGAGGCCAGGGGAGGTGGTTCTCAGCCACTGAATGCATTGCCACCCACCCACCCTTTGAACTCATAATCACACAAACTTGCTGATGAATACAAAGGCCCTGCACACCTTCTAGCTAATCTAAAATGGGCTTTGACATGAGCCAGTGAGGGGAGCTGGAGCTCTTACCATGCACAAGGTCTCAGAGTTGTCTTCTCGTCTTCCAGGACCACCGATAGAGGATTCAGTTGTGCAGCCATTTCCTCCCCCTCCCTGAGATATTAATGGATACCTTTCCAGAGAAGCCTGCAAGGTTCTTACCTCCAGATGGTGTGCCAGCAACTCTCTTTAGGAATTTAACCCATTCCCCCATCTCTGTCTGGGAGTTTGCCATGAGGACATAGGAGTCCTGTCCTGTACGATTCTGGTCCATTGAAGCTAGAGGAAGAAGCAAATTAATACATGTCTTAGAGTGGTGAGCAGGTAGAGCTAGGGGAAACCAAAATCGAATTGCTTCCTTGATTCAACTGAACTACCAGTCAAACAAAGCTAGAACATTATCTGCTTTGCCTCAGAGGAACTAAGTAAAAGGAATAAAACTGCAGCTGTTTCATTATTATTGTTTCCAAGAAGCTCTTACTAGAGACAAATCAGTGAATACTGTGGTCTGAAATTAGGATGACTTGGGCTGAGAGCTGCTTCTGGGAGGACAGAAGCTATTTCCTAATGAAAAAGAAAATGGGGGAGAGACAATTTGAGGGGACAGCATTGGTGTCAGAAGCATCAGGAGTAGCCTACACAAGTCTGAAGACTTAAGTCCAACATGCTGATCGTGGCTACTTTCTTAAGTCAGTCCTGAGCTTAGCCGTGGAGGTGGGAAGAAGGACACCAAACCACAATTCAAGTCAGAGGGACCACAAGCATGTCTACTTCCTGGTCACCATTACTGCTCTTCTTCCTGCACCCCAGTTTGCAAATCGCAAGTTCTCAAAACACACTTGATGGAAAAGTGAAATCTGTCAGCATGTTACCATTTTCACTTTAAACCCAAGATTATAGATAGGAAGACAAAGAGTGGTTCCTGAGTTGGTGTACTCAATGGACAAGAGGATGGAAGAAATGATAGAGGGAGTAAAGTATATCCTTTGATATACTTTACCAAAAGAGTAAAGTATATCAAGAGAAGGAAGAAAGTTACAAAATGAGGAAATAGGGAGAGAGAAGATAGAAAGGTGAGCATTAGATAGAGGTGTTAGGAAGGAAAAGAATGTAAGAGCAATCTCTCTCAGTTGTTGGGATAATATTAAGTTACAGAATGACTCTGTAGATAGAAACCCATTGTCACATCTGGGAATTTCCCTTAAAAAGAGCTTGTTTGAATATGCCAGTTGTGTTCAACTTGAATTTTCTTGCAGAACAAACAACTTTCAAATTCCCCGTGGTACTGGTCCCTTGAACCCATCTTGTATCACAAAACTTCATATTCAGGTCCTCAATTCTAACCAGACATGTCAGTCCATAGAAGCCCTAGACATCTGGGAACTTAGTATCTATCAGGAACTAAAAACTAGTGATAGCAGAAGTAGAATGAGAAGTAAAACATGGTCAGGGTTACCATAGGGTATGCCATAGGAATCACAATATCCCTTTGAGGTAGAAATATGGCTCTAGTATCACTTCAAGATGGTAATAGCTAAAGCCACAGATAATGCAACTGAAGTACAGAGATAGACCGTCCTGTTAGAACCCAGCAAATCATCGCCAAATTCTGAGCAAGGCACTGGTTTCCTGCATTCACTAGAGCTCCCATTAGTTATACTGTTCAAATTTGACATAGGCCAAAATTTGTGAAGCATCCTTTTCCCACTCCCATGCCTACACTCCAGTCAGGAACATGACTTTTCAATTTGTCCTGTGTCTTGAGTTAATATTTGAGTTATTTAATATTTACTTCTACTCTTGTTGTAATCAATCCCAGCTCTCAGGATGGTCCTGAATGACCTTGATTTTCAAAGACTAACCCTTTTGTCAGAAGATTAAGATGAACTCAATCAGGGTGTCCCAAAGTATATAGAAGGTGAGGCTTAGTGATTTTAACATGAATTTAAGAATTTAAGAGGCACAGGTATTAGGGTGTATAAGGTATTACCGTGGTTTCTCTCTCAGGAAAACTGAAATTGACACAGAGATCATGGATAGCAACTCCGTCCTCAGACATAAACTTCCTCTGGTTTAAACATCTGTTTAAGTTCTGTCTAGCCACTTTTGGCCTCCTGACATTTCCCTCCTCAGAAATGAACCCCCTTCTTGTTCTAGTTTTTTCCTACCTATGAAATACCTTTCTAATCCTCCCTTAAAACCTAACTCACATATTGTTACCTTCTTCAGGGATTCTTAATATCTTCTCCTTGGACTCTAAATTAACCAGTCCAGCCTCTAATTCCTTGTCATCTGACCTCTATCACAGCAGTAGTCAAATTATCCCAAAGATAGGTTTCCTTTTCATGAAAACTGAAGGAAATACTTAATGTATCCAAAACTACAGCCCTGGTCATCCTCTCTCCCCTTCTTTTCCTACATATCACACACACACACACACACACACACACATAAACACACACACACACCTCAAAAAAGCTTGTCATCCACACTAATTGGCACATGAAATTCATATGCAATCAAATTCAATTGTCAAATACCAAAAATCCTCATCTATCCCATCATGTAGACCAAAATTTGGAATCAACCACTGTTATCACCATATCAGCCAGCACTTTTTTTAACTGAAGGAACTAAGGTGTGTGTGTGTGTGTGTGTGTGTGTGTGTGTGTGTGTGTGTGTAAGGTTTTCTCCAGAACTCTATGGGAATGCTGCTAGTGTGAGAGATATGAGAGTACAAATCATCATCCTATCTCATTCCATAATCATAATGTGCCCTAGACTTTTTTGGAACCGGAGTGAATTTGCAGTCACAACTTTCAAATAAGTTGCCTTATATTACTGGACATGTGTTACTATGGATAGTTACTAACCACAACATAAAGGAAAAAGGAATCCTAGGACTAGAAGCAGTCTTGTGGAAAAGAAGTAAGGTTTTCCTTGTGAGGAGACACTGAAAAAACTAGGTTCTTCTTCAACATTAATTTCTATTTGGTAATTTCATGGAGTTATCCCCAGTATGCCCAGCACCTATACAGCACAAATGATATGCCAAGTACTATACCAATGTTTACTTATACAGTAAATAATTTATTGAATCCTCATTACTATCATTATTGTCTACATTTTACAGATAAAAGATAGGGAGAAATTAAATATCATGATCATAATTATATAAATAGTAAGTGGTGGGGGAAGTAATTAGATGGACCAAGGCAGGCTGGCAGGCTGCAGACTGGGCACAACTAAACTCGCTGTTCCCTTGCCTCCTCTAGCAGGTTTCTTATGCACACTGCTCTGCCTGTGTGAGCAGTGAGAAGTACATCCACACAGGGGTGATCAGGGAACCACATAAGACTGACTACCAAAATGCAACTTCCACATAGTTCCATTTATATTTTAACCATTAATTTTTAATGTCCCACTGCTCATCTACGATGGGGTCCTTTTTATTTTTTAAATCTTATTTATTTTTGGCTTACATTACTGCTATTAATGGTTTCTCATGGACAAAATGGTGGGACTTGTAGCTTTAAGCATGCATTCATGAAATTCATATGCAATGAGGCTATGCCCATCCATGTAGTTCACTTGATGAACTAGTGTTCATTAACCTGTGTACATTCATCACCTTCACATGCAACTATTCTGCATTCTGCTGATTAATTGGTCAGTCACCTCAGTGAACACTCTATACTTCAAGGATACAAAGTAAAATGGGAATTTAATGTGCCACCTTGTCCCACAGCTTTTCACTTACCTGGAGTAACTTCAAACACAAACTTCCCAGCTTCTTCTGGATTTGTTGCAATCTCCTTGATTGTACTTCCTGGTAGGTACATGCAACCCTGAAATATCAAAAGTCAGATCTTTAATGATATTCAGCAATCATATCACCTATGAATTGATATCAAATTGGAAAACAGGATGACGAGCGGTGGAGACAAAGATGGGAAAGAAGAGTCCTAGTTTTCATTGTGTTGCTTTTGCTATTTGGGCTATTGTCAGATGGTGGCTATCTGAGAGCAAGGTAGGCGATAAACAAGATAAAAGGACAAGGTCCTAAGCTAAGGGGCACTACCAACAACACTTGTCTCTTCCCACATTTACAAGAATCATGATTTACTGGCCAAGAGACATCTGATTTTTACGAAGGCAATGATAATATTGAATAGATCATATTTATACATCTGGTCACCAGTATGAGCACTGAGTACACATAGCCATTCAAAGGAAAAGGATACTTTGCAGCAGCAAGAGGTACTAAGAAGTTCATTCTAAGGACTAGAGAGATAGTGCCTCAGGCAGATCACTTGCCCAACATGTGTCCAACCTGGGTTTGACCCCTCACAGCACATATGGTACCCTGAGCCTCACACAAAAGTAAACCCTGAGCATCTCTGAATGTAATCCCTCCCCAGAACAAACAAAAAAGTATCCATCAATGGCAGAGGGAAATGGGCACTGGTGATGGGATTGTGTTGGAACACTGTATGCATGAAACACAATCATGAATAACCTCCTAATTCACAGTGGAAAAAAAAAGTTCATTCCAGGTGCCTGCCCCTTTGTTAAGCACTTTGAACATATTTGAATACATTATTTAGTCCTTTCAGAGATCCTCCAGATAAGGCATCCTTACTTAAAAGTGAGAAAACTGGGGATAGGAGAAGTTCTACCCAATGCCACAAAGCTAGTAAATAGCAGAACACTAATTCTTCAGAAGTGGGTTCAAAGTCATGCTCTTTATTACTACAACTATAATGGAGACCTGTGACCTAAATGCCACACTGGGAGTGGGAAGGAGAGGAGGGATCTGCATGCAGGAAGGATGTAGGATAATTAAGCTCCTTACGAATATGTATCAAACAAGTCACTTCCACAGCAGCATGCATATGCACTTACATGTAATATCCAACAAGATCTCCAAAGCAGCTTTGTATGGCAATATTTACTACTTTTTACTTTGCGACTGAGTGAATCTGCACTTTAAATGTCTGAGACTACAAAGAGGGATATAGTTAATTATACTGAGTTAGTACTCATGACTGAAATCTCCCCAACTGCTACAGGTTGCATGTATTGTGAGCTGAGGTGCATTTTTTCCCTACAGAACAAAGTATAGATGGAGAGGACTGCCCTCAGTCAGAAAGAGACTCTTAAAGATTTGTCAGATCAGCCAGAAGCCTTAATTAACAAATCAATGTTTCTTCAGAGTCTAGAAAAAGAAATGTCTTGGGACTGAGTGGAAAAGAGCTTAAAACAAAAAGAAGAGGAAGAAACACATATAGAAGGAAAAGATAGATGAGTAAGAGAAAGAAGGAAAGAGGTGGGTGAGAACAAAAGTCCATATAAGTTTTAGACAGGCAGAAGCTCACCTAGTAGAAAAAAGTCATTTAAGAAAAACCAGACTCTCTGAAGAAGCTCTCTAAATTATCATTTGCCATCTAAAATAATATTTTTCTCCAAGAAAAAATACAAAATATATAAAAATATGAATACGACTTTTATTTATGAAGAGTCAAGTTCTGTGTAAATTTATTATCGTACCTAATATTCGTTAAAACTCTGTGAAAGATTGTGTAATAAGGATATTAGGTGCAGAGGGTTAATTAGCTGAGCGTAGTTTACAAAGTTACTGTAAATAGGAAATCTATGATTCAACCTCAGGCACTGGTATTTCAGAATTACAGAATGCGTTACTTATAATACTCACTTGTTGGAAGAAGTAACCACCGGATTGAACTTTACTCACACCAATGCATAAACGGCAAACTGCAGACCCTTTCCACACAATAAGAATGAGAGCCTTGGCCATTAAAAATGAACAGAGCAGAGAGAAAAGGAACAGGAGTGGAGAGCAGCATAAGGTATGAGAGGAGGTGGGAACACTGAAGGGGAAGGAGGCGTTGTCTCAGACAAGGAAGGACCAAAGTGGCTGTGTACAAAGGGTGGACTGTGTACAAAAATGGAAAGAGGGGAACTTTGTGTTGGAGATCACGAGTCCTATGGCAATGATTCAGGGTAAAACACGGTGGCAGCGGTGTAATAGATGTAGATAGATTGGTTTGTTCTTGGGCCAAAGATCACAGGACTGTGGTACTTACCTTGCATCCAGTCAAACAAAGTTAGAGTACCCAATACCACATAAGATCCTGTAAGCAACAATTTAGGTCACTTCTGAACACAAAGCTAAGAATAGTCCTTAGAGAACCACAGCATGTGGCCCCAGACCCCCTATCAAATAACTTGACTAAAATAAAAAAGAAATATTAGATCACAAGAACAAACTGCTACATTTTCAAGAACTCTGTAAACCAGTTGTTAAACACAGCAATTATTACAATTAAATTATATAAACTCACAGTGCAATATTTTATATTAAGGCAATATTACTTCTACTCAAATATTACTAAAAACCTACAATTTTCTAATTATATGGTATAGCTTACTGTTATTTCTATTCCCTTAAATAATTGCCATCTACAATGTAAAAGACTGTAACATGGTACTTTGCACATCTCTCTAGTCTGCATTCAATGAAGTCACCTTGAAAAGCTTAATCAGCTATGGTAGGAACATTTACACCACAGAAACTGGCAAATGCTGCATCCAAAACTATTCCTTTATCAGAGAGAGAGAGAGAGAGAGAGAGAGCGCTGGGTGATGCAAACCAACCTGTGTTAACTTAACAGATTCAAGATGAGGCAGAGGGACAACATAGCTTGGAGACTATCTCAAATCCTTGTGGCAGTGGAAATTTGTGGGCAGATCTCCAAGATTATTTTTAAATTCCCTGAGAAAAAAGTTCTTAAAAGCAGTAGTCTACAGCTATTTCATAGACTTATTGACTGGTCGAGCTGCACAGACCTTTCTGAAAACTCAGAGAAAAATATCTTCCACAGAACACCAAGGTTCCATGAAGCACATATATTTAAAAAAATCTATTATATGAATTGCATGATTCAATCATTCTCTTTTAGCAGATATTCAGTCTACTGTTTCATATTAGAAATAATATTACATATATCTTATTATTTCTCTTGTATAGCTTCTTACAATGAGAATAGTGGGTCTAATGATATGAGTTTTGGCGCAAAGGAAGGGGACTAGGGCTCTTGGAAAGCTGGTCATTTGATTTTCTAGAAAGGTTTCATGAACCTACATGAAACATATACATCATCAATGTACATGGGTGCCTTTCTCATTTGATTACTCTAAAATCAAGTGGGGATATTTCCTTTCAGGTTTTGTTTCCAGGTTGCATGTATTTTATAAATGTATAATTAAGAAATAAATAAAAATGTTTAAGTAATTTATACTTTATAGAACTTTTAGAAAAAAAATTTAAAAATTGCATATGTAACTCCAGTATTCAGGTAAGTCTTGTTAACATCTCTGTGTATTTTTCTTCCCAGCCTTTTTCTATAAATACAAATTCACAACTTTCCTCCTCATCCATGGGATTAGTACATATAATATCATCTGCTATACATTGTACATCTTGGTTTTGTTTTTTAAATATTATGTAATGAAAATGTGTATTTCAAAATGTACTAATTTAAAGTTTTAATAGTGGAATTACATTTTATTGCACAAATATATGAAAAACTCCAGATAAAACTTAACCATCGCTGCTGGGTATTAATATCCTTACTATAAATACCACTGGTGAAAACCCTCTTAGGGGAATTTAACTACCTACATCAGTCTTAATAATCAATTCAGGTTAAATTTTAAGAATTAGAAATGCAGGATCAAACAAAGAACTTGAATTTTTTAAAAGATTCCTCCAGAGGATCCTCCCAGGAGGGGAGATGCATGTCGAAAGTAGACTATGGACTGAACATGTTTGCCACTCAATGCCTCTTTTGCAGACCACAACACCCAAAAGGAGAGAGAGAACACAGGGGATTGCCCTGCCACAGAGGCGGGGGGGATGGGGGGTGGGGGTGGGGAGGATATTATCCATGGTGGTGGAAAATGGGCACTGGTGGAGGGATGGGTATCTGATCATTGTATAATCGAAACCCAAGCACAAAAAATTGTAAGTCTACAACTGTACCTCATGGTGTTTCACTAATAAAAAAAAAAATCAAAAAAAAAAAGATTCCTCCAGAAAAACTGTCAGAATTTGAATTTCCACTAACTAGGCATGAAAATCCTCTTCTCTAGTCTTTACCAACACTGTAATTCTTGAAAATATTTATTGATGTATAAGGAGACAATGCTAGCTAATCAGCTTTCACAGCACTTCTTTGTTACTCAGATAGAACTTTTTAATACATACTTATTGGCCATGATTTTTCCTTGATAAATTATCATTTGTGCCATGTGGTTATTTTTCTATTGAACTGTTTGAACTTATAGACTCGAAAAAATTATTTTAAGCATTAAACACACTTATTTACCATACAATTTTCTCGATTTTTGCCGTTTTGTTTTATTGTGTTGGGTTTTAAATAGACATTTTTATTTCTACAATTAAATTAGTCTTTCTATTATGCTGTCTTTGCTGTTATACTTGAAAAAAATAAACTCTCTTCTGAAGATTATGCTCTTAGCTAATTTCTTCTAGTACTTTTTTTATGAACTCGGTAATTTGAGGGATGGAGGGGCATTCCCACATGTGCTCAGGGAGTACAGGGATCACTCCCGGCAATTATAGACCAATCAGGCAGGACAGTTAAATGAATAAAACCAAGGATCACCAGGGCACTCCAGCAGTGCTCAGGAGCTTATGTGGTGATACCCAATGGTGTTCAAAATCCTCCAGGGCAATATCTAATAATGCTAAGGATCATATGGTGCTTGGGATAGAACTGGTGCCCCATATATGCAAGACATG